ACGTGGCCAAAGTCCAAGGTTAGGGAATGTTCTGGGCAAGCAGCCAGCCCAAGGCAGGGTGGCCAGACCCAGTCTCTGCTGCCACCATGGTCCGGTGCCCTTTACATGGTGGCATGCTGGCTGCAGTGGCCAGAGCTGCCCAGACTTGCCTGCCTCACCCGCGCCCTGCTCCCAAACACAGGCGGAGAGGGAGGGAGGGAGGGAGGCTGGGGTTGAACTACAGAGCAGCAAGGGCTAACCACCAAACCTGCCACCTGCCACCTCCACCTGCCAGGGGTGAGTGGGGACAGACAGACTTCAGGACTGGGCCAGAAGACCCCAAAGCCAGTCCCTGCTCAGACCACATCGCAGCCCCCCAATCCCCTACAGGCCACCCCTCCTGGTCAAGAGCAGACCTGTTCCTGGAGTCCCTCCCACATCAGGAGCACTGCAGTCCAGCGTCCCCTCCCGCGCCGGGCCTGACAGCAGCCACCTGGCGGCCCCGTGATGTGTCTGTGACCCAGCCCTCCTGCAGCAGCTGGGGCTGTTGGGGGCTCAGGATGCCTCCCCGGGAGGAGCTGGAGTCCTGCTCGGGCCACATGGCAGTGACTCAGGACTCAGGACACTGCCCATCCCCCTCCCCTCCAGCGGCTCCCAGTGACCTGTGAGACCAGTGCAATGGGGGGAGGGGTGTCCACCGGTTTGGCTCACCTCCCTCCGAGGGCACCCGGCACTAGAAGAAGCCAGGGTGTCTTCAGGCCCAACCTGCAAAGCAAGGGAAACATGCCGAGGGGGACACAGCACGGAGGGGGCACTGCTCCATGGCACTGAGCTCGCCCAGGTGCCCTCTCACTCCCAGGGTCCCCTATCTGGCTGGCGGGCCACATTCAGGCCCCCGCTGAGTCCAGGCTGGAGAAGGGCCAGACAGGCCTTCGGGAACCCCCAGAGACCTTCCCTCTGTGTCCAAAGAGCAAGCTGCCCATTGGGGGCAGCCTCCCAGACAGGGGGACGGCTGGTTTACACAGCAGCGCACTACAAGGAGGGGCCGTGCGGGTAGTGGCCCCACCAGCGGGGCTGAGGAATGAGGGTGCCATGTGCAGGGCTAAAGGGCCAGGTTTCTCAGTGCCCATCGCACCCTTGGAAGGGGAGGGTCTAGGCTGGCGTGACAGTGCTGCTGGGGAGAGTAGGGGCCTTTCACGGGGAAGAAAGACTTTTCTGGACATTGGCCAAAATGTAGGGCACCAGGTCCCCTGAGGAGAGGGGCTGCTGAGCGGTCGGGGCTGAGAAGGGCTCCGTCCTTCTAGCCCACCCTGCCACCCACACAGCTTGGCGCTCTGGGTGTCCTCAGCAGGAGACACATGGCAGCTGCCAGGGCTGAGCCCAGCCTTGGGGACACCTTGCTTAACCTTCAGAAAGGCCCCACCCACAAGGAGCACAGGACTCCTGCCCGGCCAGCGTGGGCTGGGAGCTCTGGAATGGGGCAGGTGGTCCCGGAGGCCACGCCTGGCCGTGTGGGGCTCCAGCTACAGGCGTGACAAGGAGGGTTTGTGCTGGCCCGAAGCTCGCAGGGGTGCGGCTGCCACCCGGAGGTGGCAAAGTTCAGGGATTTCCTGCTGGGGTTACCAGGGAGACCTTTCCAGCTCAGACCCCCATGTGCCACCTCCCCACAGGCTTGGAGTCCTCTGCGCCAGACCATCTGCAGGGAGGCAGGAAGAAGGCAGTGTGGAGCCAGGAGCTCGCAGAGCCCAGAGCACGGCGGAGCCCACACTCCCCAGCAGGGCCTCGGAGGGCCAGGAGGCTGTGGAGACACCAGGGTGACGGTCCCCAAGGGTCCTGCAGCAGGGCTGAGCCCACTCCAGCCATCTTCCCTCCCTGCCTGCTGCCAGGACCACGCCCCTCACACTTCAAGACAGACCTAGGAAGCCCTCCACACCCAGCTGTCCCACCCAGGGGCTCTTGGCTCCTCCAGGCGGATGGGAGGTGAGCTTTGTGGAAAAAACACACACACACACACACACACACACACACAAACACGCAGCCATGCTGACTTCCAAACCCAATTGTCCACCTGCTCACAGAGCAGGTCAGACAGCCGGGGGACTCCGGAGGGGTCGGCCGTTCTGGGAGGGTGGAACCAGTTTCCCCAGCCAATGGTGCTGGCCCAGTCACCCACAGTGCACGCTGGCATCAGTGGCCACTGCTGGGCCCCCAGCCACACCATTTTGGGGAGCACCCAGCCAGGATGCCACAGGGGAAGTGAGAGTCCCCTGGCTGCTGATCTCTCTGCAGCCACGGCGCCCAAGAGGAGCAGTCCGATCGTGCCACCTGGAGGTGGTCACAGGAAGCGCAGGTGAGTCCGTGTTGACTCAGCGCCCCCTGTGGGTTTCCGAGACTGTGAGTGTCGACCGGAGCAGAAGGCCCGTCTAACTTATCCAAGGGTGGTTTCAAACTGCCGATTGTGCGGATCACAGCGCAACCCGTAACCACTAAGCCACCAGGGCTCCCAGTGCAGTGCAATTTAAATGGTCCCTCAGCCAGTCACATAATTCAAGACACAACCGGGGACGCCGATACTGGGATCACTTTCATTCAACGCAGCAGACCCAAATTAGCAACATTTCGACCCGCTGACAATATATGACGCCGGCCACTCTCACCTCCCGACCCTCCTGAGCGCCTGCTGTGGGCCAGGGGCCCTGTGACCCCAGGGACTCACTGGGTTACAGGGACGCCAAGGACGGAGCCAGGTCAGTCAAGGGAGCAGGCAAGTCATAAAGCAATGCCATCCCGTCTTTGTCAAGAGAAAACCAGCCCTCTGTCTCACGTTTGTCCAGAGATGACCTGCCGACGGGGTCCCTGCCGACAGGGTGTGTAGGTGTGTGTGTGTTTGGGGGTGGGGGAGTCCTGGCAAATGCCCACTTGGTGATTGCGCTGAAAGGACCCAGGTGTCTGGGCTCTGAAGGGACCGGTCTGGCAGCACAGGGTGGGCTGCAGCCTCCCATGCACCCACCTGGCCCCTGGGGTCCTGCTGGTTGTGTGGGTACCTTCCTCAGAGACCCTGCTTGGGGCCTGAGCGGGCGCAGTGCATTCTCAGGCTCCGGGGGTGCCTGCTGAGGCTGCGAGCCCCAGGAAGGCCAAATGGAACAAGATAGTCAGCATGCTTCCCCAGCCAGAAGCCAAAAGATAGCCTGGGACAACGGACGCTGGTCTGCAGTCCTGTCCTGGGTTCAAGCCGGTACCAGACTTGCCTGGTGGGGGGCAATCCGGGGTGCCATGTCCTGAGGCTCTGGGGGAGGCATTGAGGCTGTGGCAGGGAAGTGGGATCAGGGACAGGGAGGGCCCCATGGTGGGCAGCAAGCTCTGAGGCCTGTGCCTGGGGCCTCCCTCTCAGGGGGGTCAGGAAGCCCCCCTGTAAGTCCTGGAGAGGAGGGTTGGGTGTGCCCGGGAGCTGCACAGGGGTCTCTGCTCTCTAGGGCCCATGAGGGGGCTGGCAGACCCCCACTGGACTGTGTCCCCCTTCAGTCAGAGAGATACAGGTTCCCTGGGTTCCTGACACGGTACAGGTTCTCAAAAAAGGGTCAGGCCCCTCCTCAGTCTCCTCAACTTACCCAGTAAGATGTAAAAGACCCCCTCCCACCACAGGTACCCACATCATCTAATAAGTCCCCCAAATCCACATGAGAACCCATATCTAACAAGCCCCCCACATCCACAAAAGCACATGGTCCCTGAAGGTCATGGCTGAAGTTACCTCCTTAAGGCCAGACCACTGGACAGGAGGGACCTGCTCCCAAGAGCTAGCTGAAGCCACTCCTTGCAGGCCGCTATGCTGGCCACCAGAGTGGCTGACACCACAGGGCCCACCCACAACCTCCTGGTGCCTGGCAAATAAAGCACAGCCAAGGTTTGGATCGACCAACCAACCAAGCACCCCTTACCAAGGACCATCTGGGGCCTGGGATGGAGCTGGCCGAGCAAGGGGATGGGTGAACAGAGGGCTGAGCACTCATGCCGTGAGCCCCATGGTGGGCCCTCTGCCTCTCTACCCCGGGATACCCACTGCCAGGGCCCCCACGAACTCACGCACCCCCATGCAGCTCAGAGGGTCTTCTTGGCTGATCCTTCTGGGAGGGGATCACCAGGCCTTTCTTCCCACACCCCTCCTACCTCCCAGTGAGCTGCCGAGCACGGGGACCACTTGCACCACCTCGGCCTCCCGCCTGCCATGCACACACATTCCGAGGCTGGCTGTGACACTGGCGGAGCCTGTGGAGCTGGGACGCCGTGGGGTGGCCTCACCTCGTGGGGGCTCCCGCCCCACTGTGACTCTACTGGGGGAAGGTGCTTGCCTTCAGCTTTCACAGGCCTTCCTGCCCAGGAGCCCACACTCAGCAGTTCTTGGGCGAAACCAGGAGTTTGGCCTTGGCAGTATTTTCTGAGACACCTGAAGTACAAGACAACCCCAACAGGTGTGGCCTTCATAGTATTCACACCTTTCGTGGCCCAAAGGGCTTTTACCAAGGAAACGAAAAGACCTCTGGAGCGGGAGGTTATATCTGCAGATCATATATTGGCTGTTGTTGCTATCGTTAGTTCCCAGCAAGTCGGTTCCGACCCGCAGCGATCCCCTGCACTGCAGAACAAAACACGCCCGGTCCTGTGCCACACCAGCAAGTGGCCTAGAATGTATACAATTCTCAACAAGAGACAAGCAGCCCGGTTAAAATATGGCTGGAGGACGTGGACAGGCACTTCTTGGAGATATATAAATAAACAAGAGTACCTGAAACATGCTAAAAAAGAAAACGAGAGGTCTTTTTAAAGCCACTTTTCTGCCCCTTCTACACATGACCGCCAGACCGAGAGCTTTAGAAGGCAGTTTCCTCAAGGGCAGTGAACGCTGGCAGGTGGCGCTGAGGCCTGAGAAAACAACCACTTGATTTTGGAAAGACCAGCACAAGTCCTGTGACCCCCAGGGCTGTGGGTGGGGGCGGCGACAGTCATGAGACCCGGGTACTGACCTAAACTTCCCGGTCCGAACCTGCAGTGCCCGCATCCCGCAGCGCTGGGCCCCGCCCACGTCGCCCACGATGTCGTCTCCGATCATGACGGCCTGTCGGGACAGTGGACACGCTCAGAAGGGGTGACCGCAGAGTCTCATTCCTGCGCGCACCTTCAGTTTTTACATAATAAACATCCCGGTTTGATGTCTGAAACCGCCATCATACAAATTAAACAAGATAACACTGGCATCATATTGATTATAAGTCAGCCCACCTGGAATTATTTCCCTTGGCACTCCCCCCTCATGCTACCCCTCCCCAGCCCCAGAGCAAGCCTCTGAATGGTAACATATGTACATAATTTGAAGTCCACCAGCAGCCGGCAGAGTGACTCGCTGCCAGGAGGATGTGGACGTGCTGTGTGGTCCAGTGTCCCCCTGAGCCTGGCAGGTCGCAGGACTCACTAGGATGCAAAACGACAAGCTAGTCTCGCAGCCCGGGTGCCTGGACACGCAGGCAGGGAACAGCTGTGTGTCGGATCTGGCCTTCCACTGCGCAGGCACAAACCAGACTCAAAGGCTGCCTGTCTTCAGCAGAGAGTCCATCTCCTCTCCTCTTCCCGCCACCGAACCCCAGGACTTCCGCACAACCAACAATGTTTGGGGCAGAACCAAACAGAAAAGACATCCAGCCAGGGGTCCATGCCGACTCATAGTGACCCCGTAGAACACTGTAGAACTGCCCCTGTGATAGGTAGGTTTGTTGTGCCAACACGGCCAATGAACACGTGAGACTGGTTGAAGGCGGAGAGAGAAATGGCTCGGCGAGCCTCGCCTCTCTGTTGCTCTTTGATCATCAGACCCGTGGGCAGCTGCCTTGCTTGTTCTGTGCCTCCATTTGCAAGCTACACTACCTGTGGGACCCCTACCCCGTGGACTGTGTCGCTGTCACTTCGGGTTCCTTCAAGACCTACTCGCCACGCTACTGGAAGGTCTATCTCTTGAGCTGGGGACCGTCGAACCCTGTCATCTGGTCAACTGTTGGTGACCTGCTTGCTGTTTGCTGCCTGTGGCCGGACAGCCTGAATTGCTCCACGGAGGAGTACCCTGCGGCCCTCCATACGTGAAGGACTGCCGGTGTACTAGCTGTCTCACAGGAGTGAGTTGCGCTGAGCCATTCATACTGCTTTATAGACTAATTAACTGTTTATTTCTTACGTTATCTATCTATATAAATATACATAAAATTATTAGTGTCCTGGTTTTGTTTCTCTAGAGAACCCTGTCTAACACAGCCCCTATGGATTTCCAAGACTGTAACTCATAACAGGAACAGACAGCCTCGTCTTTCTCCTGAGGGGCGGCTGGAGGTTTTGAACTGCTGACATTAAGGCCAGCAAGCCCAACGCGTTCCCACTACATAGACTTTGAAGTCGAATAAATGTTGGGCCTGTGTTTCTTTGAGTCATCTTTTAAGCTAACGGGGTGATGCTGGCCTTCCCTTTATAATCGAGATTAAGAGCGTCTTCTTAATGCACTTAGGAGTGGCATTTTAAAAACAAGACATCCAGTAACTAACAGTGCCAGTGGCACAAACAGACAGGGCAACATATTAAAAAATGCATTTTTTTTTCTCTCCAAAATGACTAATGTCCAGGGAACTGCCAGATCTAAATGGAATCAGGCGTTTGCGTCTCTGAAACTGGAAATAGCTACATCACCAAGGAAAGGGGCCGTGGCAATGTTCTCCTGGGATGATAACTGCGCCAGCCTCGGCGGCACACGGGACCTGCAGGGCCGTGCCCAACCATGGCTGCCTGGGCCCCTCCAGACTCACCGGACCTGGGGGCCGAGGGCTGGCCCCAGGCAGCCATGGCGGCCACTAGCCCAGTCTCACTGCGTTTTGTCCTAACAGCACTGGGCCCCTCTGAGCAGCACAGCAGTCCCAACCTAGGGCCCCTGTAGCTTAAGCTCAACGGCTATCCTACAAGCTGGCGCTTCAAGCGCATCACTGGGACCTCGGAGGAAAAGTCCAGCAACCTGCTTCCGTAAAGATGAAGGTCAACAAGCCACAGAGCTGTCCGCGCTGTGGCGCATGCGCGCATGCACGGGGGCACCATGAATGGGAGTGGACTCGATGGTCCTGGTTGGGGTGGTTTCCAGCGGCTGCAGTGACCAGCTGGTGCTACAAAGAGGCCTGGGGGTGCAGCGGGCTATGTGCTCAGCTGCTAAATGAAAGGCGGCAGTTTCAAGCCCACCCGCCGCACGGAGTGGGAAAGGCCCGGCACTCTGCTCTGGGGTGTGTTCCAACCTCGGAGCCCCGACGTGGTGTCCCGCCGTCTCACGGGTCACTATGAGTCCGAGATGACGGCACACAACCACCTCCAGTTATTTCACGCCAGGCTTGGGGTCTCTGTGTTTCTAGAAGCAGACTCCCGCAACCACACTCTTCCCCCCTGGACCCCCTCCACCTGCCAGGGCATCCTTCCTGGGCGTGGACGTCTGCTGACAAACCAACAAACCAGCGTCCTGACTCCGACAGGGTGCCAGGAAGCTGCACCAGTGGTGGACGCCCAAGGGACGGGACACTCCAAGCAGCGGGGGGGCGGGGGGGGGGGGTGGGGTTGCGCAGCTGTACGGGCAGTGAGGCCTGTCTGGGCCAGCTTGTGGGCCCTGCATACCAAACCACGCTCTCGCTGGACCCCAGGGACTGCACAGATTTACTATCGGTGAAGGGAAATAATCACGCCAGGCGGAGCAATTATTGCCAAATCATTTAGGATTTAAAAAACCATTGGCAAGAAGATAGAGGTCAGGAGGTTGCCTGTCGGGGGAAATAAAAAACTCCACCTGTCAGCTGGGTTTCACTTCCTCCCTGACTGCAGTGGGTGTGGAGGGGGCAGGGACCCCACACTGAAGGCAGGGCCCTCAGAAAATGGGAATGGGGGGCTGTGGGGAGGCATCCAAATCACTGATGCAGGTTTCCCGGTTTGAGTGCAAACGCCAGGCACACCCACCCTTCTAGAAGGGGTGCCTGCCTCTGGAGACATTTTTAATGGTCTGGGGGAGGGGCTCCTGGCTAAAGAGGCAGGTAAGCACCCACAGTGCACAGCCCCACATGTCCACGGTGCCGAGGTGCAGGGCCCCGGCTTTCAACCTTAGACCAGGGACAGGGACAAGGACTTCATGAGATAACACACATGAAGGTGCCCAGGTATGCCTGGCACATGTGTGCCCAGAGGAGGTGGGGGTCCTCCCACTCAAGCCTCAGGCTCCTCTCCTGTGAAAGGGGCCCCTGACAGCCAGACATCTCTATTCTACCAACCCGGACAACCCTGCCATCTGCATAATTGGTACCAAGGAACTTCTGGACAGCCCCCACACCCACCCCCGCTGCCCACATTGGCCCGTCCCTGGGCTGGGGCCGGGGCCTCAGCAATCATCTTGCCCACGGGTTCAGAAGCCTCAGGCCCTGAGAATGAGGTGTTTCTAGAGCCCATCAGAAATGTCTACACATCCTGGGGCTCACATGGCATGAAGGAGCACCTCAGAAAAATGGTGGTGGTGGGTGCGGGGTGGTGAGGGTTAAAAATCGGCAGTTGCAAAGACAAAGCGGGTGCATAAGCAAATGTGGTGAAGAAAGCTGATGGTGCCCAGCTATCAAAAGATATAGAGTCTGGGGTCTTAAAGACTTGAAGGTAAACAAGCGGCCATTTGGCTCAGAAGCAACAAAGCCCACATGGAAGAAGCACACCAGGCTGTGTGATCACAAGGTGTTGAAGGAATCAGGTATCAGCCACCCAAGAAAAAAAATCCTATCATTGTGAATGAGGGGGAGTGTGGAGTAGAGAACCAGGGTTGCGGAGAGCAGATGAGCCAGTCAGGGTGCAGTGTAGCAACAATGAAACATACAACTTTCCTCTACCTCCTAAATGCTTCCTCCCCCCACTATCATGATCCCAATTCTACCTAGACCAGAGGATGTACACTGGCACAGATAGGAACTGGAAACACAGGGAATCCAGGACCAGTGGTGAGAGGCAATACCGGGAGGGTGGAGGGAGGGTGGGGTAGAGAGGGGGAACTGATTACAAGGATCTACATATAAACTCCTCCCTAGGGGATGGACAACAGAAATGTGGGTGAAGGGAGACACCGGACAGTTTAAGATATGACTAAATAATTTATAAATTATTAAGGGTTTATGAGGAAGGGAGGGAGGGAGGAGCAGAGGGTGGGGTGTGGAATGAGAAGCTGATGCCAGGGGCTTAAGTGGAGAGCAGATGTTTTGAGAATGATGAGAACAATGAATGTACAAATGTGCTTTACGCAATTGATGTATGTATGGATTGTGATAAGAGCTATGTGCCCCTAATAAAACAATTAAAAACAAAAACAAAGCTCTTCCCCAGCCCCATCATTCAAATGCATAGACTTGCACACAGTTGCTTATGGTTTTAAAAATGGAGCCGTAGAGGTGGAGGCAGGCAGAAGCTGGAGGGATCCTGTCTCGTGGATTGGATTCTGGAGCTGCGAGACGCTGAGACAAAGGTCAGTGCTGGGAAGGGACATCCCTAATAGCGCACAGGACAACTCACCCACAGTTAATGGAGCTGGCGGCACATTTACCAGGGGAGAACTCCTTCCAGCTTGTAAGACGTAGTGATTTGATGGTGACTATGCTCTAAGGATAAAAAGGTGCCCTGACGGTGTAATGGGCTCAGCAGTGGACCGCCGAGAAGGTCGGTGGTTCCAACCCAGCAGCCGCTCTGCAGGAGACAGATGAGACTGTCTGCTCCTGTGAAGTTAGTCTTGGAAACCCTAAGGGGCAATTCTACTCTGTCCTACGGGTAGAAGAAAATCAAACAAACAAAACCCAGTTTTAAACCACGAGTCCCTTCAAGCGGCCGCCGTCAGCACTCGATCCTGGTGGCGGTCCTGGCGTAATGGAAACGGCTGGTGCCGCACCAGCTTTGTCTCCGGCTGCTTTCACAGCGCGCTCTCTGCGACGTGAGATGCTTGCATATGTGATGAGCTAAAGGCAAATGAGCCCTTATGTTGGTATTCTTCAAACTCGGGGTCTTTGCCGTGGGGCCAGGAAAGACAGCTCT